CACAAATTGAAGGAACAACATTCTACCCTTATAGGGTGGTTGGGATTCATACTCTTGGGACCAAATCATGGAGAAACATTGGATTTGCTTCCAGCTTCTAAAGCATAACGTCTCTAACCTATCTTAATGGGGTCCTTTATTGGATTGGTGATTGATGCTAGTTAATTTTTGTTATAAGTTACGTACAAAGACAAAAATGAACTTAGGTCTGATTTTGGGCGTGATTTTTGGCTGTTCTTGGTAGACCTTCGGTTGATGATCCAAGCCAAGATTGAAGGAGTTTTTGGTTGGTTCTTACCTCTCTCTGGACGGTGATTGCAAGGCATGGAAGGCTGTTCCTAAGCCTAATCCATTCAGTCGAATCGAAGAGAAGAACTACCCGTGAAAGGGAAAAAGGAGGCTGCTTTGTGGACTGTAAAAGGGAAGTTTCTATCCAGTTTTCACGTTTCTGTTTTTCTGCTCATTTCATTATCTGTTTTAGCTTCTCCATTTCTGTTTCTGCAGTATATATATATATATATATATAGTCATTACTTTAGTTGAATAGTATTCTGCTGTTGTGGTATATCTGTAAATGCTATTGGCATAAGTTTGATTACCATTGTTTATGATAATGTTGGATTACATTATTGAATAGAAGAGGTCCTGCTGTTTCTGTGCATCAGTTTATGCTATGATTATGTTAGTAGTCTGGATTGCATATTGTATATTAAGGCTATAAGATTGGGTATAGAACTTGTTCATTGGTTGTATGAGCTTTAGAACTATATTATGTTTTGTATTGATGTCTGCATTGATCAGTTTATTCCCAACAGTGGCCATTGATGATTTGAAAATTTACGTGGCGAATGAAAATCCTACGTGAACACGTAAGATTTTTACTTGCCACATGAATTTCTTGTCCAAGTGAATGGATGGAATTGAAATAAGTGATATATGAATAATTTTATTTAAAATGAGCAATCAATAATTCTTAACTTCTGAGTGAGGAAGTAAAATGTAAATTTGGGTGATTGATAATTTAATTAACTAGTGTTTTTCCCACTTTTGGACCATCCCGTTTTAGCAATTGAAGGGTCATACAGAGACACCCGTACAATTCAATCCAACCAAAGCCCGAGTCCCTGTGGAAGGAAATTTGATTTAGATTTCAGCTATTCATTGAGGGATTTGAATCATTTGGCTATTTTCTTCCAAGAATAAATGGCACTTTCACCCTCTTTTAATCACCCGATAGCCTCTTCCAATGCCACTTCTTCACCTTCTTTAAGTTTCTTGAAACTCAATAATTTTCACAACTGCAGCCCAATGTTTATGGGATTTCGGAGCTCTTTTCAATCTCTGGTTATCAGCTGTTGTTCTTCTCAATTTGGGTCCACCTCAAACCCCGTGAATTCGAGGTATTAAAAGTTAAAACCCATGCATTGCTCTGAGTCAGTTTTCCATTTTGTGGGATTTGCGTTTTGAATTTTGAAGGATTAATGGGTAGATTTTGAATTTTTGAATAGATTGGTTAATGGGTTATGGGTATTTTTCTAAATTTACCCAGCCAAATTGCATGTCTTCATTTATTTAGACATTTGGAATTTCTTGAATTGATTTTGTGGGTTTTATGACATTTATATAGTATAAAAGAAAACAACGTTTGATAATTTGGTGTATTTTCTTGAAGGTTAAGAAATTTTGACAAATCTTTCGTAAGTTCAAAGTCTTGGAAAAAGAAGATAAAATTTGGTATTAACAGCACATATTCAGTGTAGTGGATGCAGTGGAGTGTTATTTGCTAGATTATACTCCGTGCTGAGAGAACTCGTACCATTGTTCTTTTTAAACACAAAGATTTATGTCACAATATTTTGGTGCAAAAATGATTGCTCAACTTGGGAAGATGCTAAACATTTGAAGGGAAATAATTTTGTCATTTAAATAAAGAATGAAATGTTTTACGAAATGATTTACAGTGTGGTGAAACTCAGTCTTGCAGAGTTACCGAGCTAAGGCCGGTTTACTCGAATGTCACATAGAAGTGTGAACTTAGTACACGATCATCGTTGCTTCATGTTTGGAATGGAAATTTTTTATTTCAGATCATTTTGACGTCTAAAGTCAGAGTTAGTTGATGTTTAAATGATAATACTTGTATCTTTCCAGTCTAATGTTTTTCAGTTCTTAGTTTCTTGGACGGCTCCCTTCAACTATATTTATGTAATAAAATTTTATAACTGGTATCAACTTATTGACGTATAATGCAAAGATCAAGCTAGAAGACCTCACACTTTCTCCATGAATATTTACCTAATAGTTCACAAATGTTTTGAACACATTTCTTTTCGCTTTCTTTCTAGTTTTTCTGTTGTTGCTTACTGATGTTTGTAAATATCTTATATGTGTCACTGTTCAAAGACTTTCTATATTCATTGATGAGATATCCATGCCATAAAGGATTTTCGAGGCTATTCCCTGATCCTGCCCAACGTCGTGTGGGAAACACAAGTTCAGTAACAAATAATGAAAGCACTTTTTTATTCAAGAATTTTCTTGTCTTCCCCCAATTCCATTTCCACCGTCTTATACATCAATAAGAGAATTTATTTGTCAGTAATGGGAAAGTACCTTCTTTTGCCCCTAGCTAAATTAATGTCGGACTCTCTAGCTTGTTATTTGGTTGCACTGAAACACTTGGTGAATTATGGGCTCCAGTTTGTCTCCTGTCTAAACATTTAACAACTGTACCCTGTTATTCTCAACCAAAAGCATAAATCTAACATGAAAGTGAGTGGAAGAGGATCGGTGCCCGGGTGCTTAAATTCATCTCACCGTGTATATATGTCAGTTAATGTGGATCAAAGGAAATAGGAAAAACTGTGGTTCATTTTGCACATGTTATTAATTTAGAACTGCAGGTTAATGTATCGTTTTATTTTTCTTGTACAGAGTACTTATAATCTCACTGGTCCCTTCAAATACTATGCAGCCTATTTTTCTGTTGAATCTATTCCATTATTTTCAAAATAGAGTTTCTGCCCTAATTATGCATTCTTTAAGTTGTAGGCCAGTAGCTACTTTTCTCCGATATTCCTTCTGTAAGGTAGACATATGTGCTTAACTTTCTTCCCTTGTAATGTATTTTCTATATTATTTTTTGATAGGCAACCTCAGATATCTTCCACGTCTAGGCCTCCTTTTAGTGTCACAATGAATGATAACGGTACATCAAAACCATCATATAAATGGCGAAGGGTGTTGCTAAAAGTAAGCGGAGAGGCACTTGCTGGAGATCGAACACAAAACATTGACCCAAAGGTTTGGGCAGTCAAAGCTTATAATGGTTTCACATTTCCGAGATTTTTAGAAATCAGTAATGCAGGTAGTATCTTTTTACAGATCACAATGGCAATTGCAAGGGAGGTTGCATCCGTTACCCGGCTTGGCGTTGAAGTAGGTTTTCCAATACATCCAATTGAAAGAAGTTCAACTGTAATCTTAACGAAAGTACAAGATTACGTAGCTATATACCAGTAAATTCTGTAAATGTCCAAACAACTGTAAAAAAGAACCATAAGTTTGGTCTTACAAACTGAATTCTTTTGATTAGATATGCAGGCATTATGTTTGAACTGTCATTTGCAACTCTTTCAGGTTGCAATAGTTGTTGGTGGAGGAAATATTTTCCGCGGATCCTCCTGGGCAGGTTGCAGTGGCCTCGACCGCTCATCTGCTGACTATATTGGGTATGTACTTCTGTTGGTATCGAAGTTAATCTTTTATGAGTTCTTTTATTTGTTCATGTAATTATGCTTTACACAGACTTTTTTTTACATCTCTTCTTCTCTTGTATATGTCTAAATTGCATTAATTGTTACATTCAATAAAGTTTCAGTTAATCCATTGTTTAGGATGTTAGCAACTGTCATGAATGCAATATTTTTGCAAGCAACAATGGAAAGTATTGGCATCCCAACAAGAGTTCAGACTGCATTTCGCATGTCAGAAGTTGCCGAACCATATATACGTAGAAGAGCTGTTCGGCATCTGGAAAAAGGACGTGTCGTAATTTTTGCAGCTGGAACCGGAAATCCCTTCTTCACAACAGATACAGCTGCAGCCCTTCGGACTGCAGAGAGTGAGTTTGATTACTTGGACCATTCTGATATTACTTGTATATGTTATAGAGTTAACAATGGCCTTCAGAAATATATTAGAAACCCCAAATGACATGTACATGAATTAGGGAGTTACCATGCTTCTTGGGAAGCACTTCTTTAAGCCTCTATATTTATGCATCCATGTAGTCTTAGTGCTTGTTTGGTAGTGCTTTTAAGTGTTTTTAAGTTGTTGTGTGGATAATAAGTAGTTAGTAAGTTATGAGGCCCACAAAATATGTGGTACAACCGTACAAGTATGTTTGACCAGCTTAAATTTAAGATTTTCTTTTTAAGAACTCCTAGCCATTCTAGGGTAATATTTCAAACTATTTGGCTATCTCTGCCCAATTTTTCCGTCTTAAAATATCCTCTACCATTTAAGCAGTATGTTGCTTATAAATCTCTGAATCTATGCATGTCATTTTGAAGTTATTATCATTTTGGTATGAAGCTGATCATTTTCCCATATTTGAGTTACAGTAGTCATTGAACCTTGTCTTCCAAACATGTTCACAATTTCAATAAATGGGTAGTGGAGAAAATTAACCTTAGGATTTTTGCCTATTCTAATACCATGATAAACAACCTAGTAATAACCGAAAATGTTAAAACGGGACAGATTTATTTTAGTCTAGTCTTTAAGAGTAGTAAATAACTCATTTTATTTCTGAACTAATGTGTATCACTTGAGCGGAAGAAATGAAAATCTAATGTTGAACTTATGAATGTTGGCAAAGTTAACGCGGAGGTGGTGCTGAAAGCTACAAATGTTGATGGAGTTTTTGATGATGATCCGAGGTCTAATCCTAATGCTCGTCTTCTCGATACTCTAAGTTATCAAGACGTAATTTCAAAGGAACTTTCGGTTATGGACTTGACTGCCATTACTTTGTGCCAAGAGAACAACATTCCAGGCAAGCCTTACAATCTCTCATCGAAACTATTGAAATTTCTTCTTCCATATGAATCGACAGAGTAATATTATAAGTTGTGCCCTTTATTGAAGAACTGTTTATTTCCTTTGATGCAGTTGTCGTGTTTAATATCAACAAACCTGGGAACATATCGAAAGCCATTATGGGAGAAAGGGTTGGTACGCTGATTGGATGGACAGAGAATTCAGCAGAAGCAAGAACTTGATCGAGAAGAAATTGTCCGTAACTGACTGTAATTTTCTTACCATTGACATGTTTGGTAAGGAAGATTATACAGTACTGGACGATATTAACAAAGAAGAAAAAGAAATTAATGCTGTTATTGTCCAATCGTTTCCAATATTATTTATCAAAACTTCATAGCAGGTTTAGTTAAGGCTAATATATCAGTCATCATTTAAGAACTTGCCTTATTTTGGAAATATGGATATTGGGCAATTTTTGCTAATGTTATTTAGTGGATATGGAAATTTTATGCATCTTTCATTTGGAAGTGTGTTTAAATATTGTGCACCAATTGTAGTCACTTAGAAGGTTATCTTTTGCTCTGCTTTAACGGCTTGTTTACATAAGTGGTTTCTAAATCAAAGCGTGAAATATAAAGTCTACGCTAATGTGAAAATTGATTTTACTTTACCGTTTTAGGAGCACCGCACAGTTTGAGCCCCATTTTGGGGGAAAAGGAAATGTATATTGGCATATTGGAATAGTGTTTTTTGAAAAATGTGCGGTTAAAAAATTAAGCAAAAATTTCGATTTACGTGTAAAATTATTTTATTGAAAAACGTGGTTAAAAATGAGTTTTTATTTTTTAAAACAAGAATTTTTGATAAAGTGGGACTCAAACAAGGGCTAATGTTGCACTAAAGCGCGGACCAAATTGAATCTGTTGGTTTGAGCTTACGTAGATCATTTTTTGTCAATTTTCTAGTTTTGAATTGAACTAAATCGTTCAAAAGTGGTTTGTTCAAGTTTCTATGTTTAAAAATCGATTAAATTGAAAAGAGCTTAACAAAATCGAACTTTTTATTCAGAGTTGAAGTCAGAGCTTCGACTTACTTTCGTCTTTTATTCTAAAAGCTTGTGTATGGCAAAAATGACATGTTACCTTTTCTTTCTCCTCCTTTCTCGTAAGTAAAACAAGCTAGCTTATAAGCTCATTCAAACATGCTCTACACTCATGCTCTATGCTTCGAATAATCTTGTAGTTTCTAGTAGTGAATAGGCTCACTTGAGCGAACAAAGGCGAAAATATGACAAATTGAAACGAACAATCTCACTCGAATGAGATCGGTAATCACTCGAGCAATCGGCTGGACATAGCTTAATATTCAGCCTTATAAAAGTCCATTTTTCAAATAAAACTAATTTATTATTTTTATTTTTTAAATACTTAATAAGTTGAAGTATCTAAGAAACGATATTTTAGTAACTACTCTATCACTTGACTTGTAAACTTGCAAAATGAAGACAGTAATTGTGGTCCATTACATAATTTTCTCATAAATAATATTTCAGTCCTGCAAAATAACCATTTAATTTGAAAATGAATAATATCTCAAAGTTGACCGAAGACTTTTCTTGAAAGAAAAATCAAATACTTGACATTATTATTAAATAAACTTCACTGGATAGTTAGGTAAAAATACATGTATCCTAACAAATTAATCTCCTCATACACCAAAAAATACAAAATAAATAAAAAATTGGTCTACCCCACCTCCACCTCTACTATCAATTTTCCACAGAGCCAATCTTCTCTCTCTAGAAAATAACTAAAAATTAAAAAAAATAAAAATTGGAAAAATGACTTTCTATTGGCTAAAAGTCAAACGGATTGAACAGATCGAAAGAAGAAGAGGGTGAAGGAGACACCATTGGAGCTGAAAACAAGGTTGATGGGCTTGGTATGAACATGTTGTACCCCAACATAAACGGGTCAATCGGAGCCGGAGAGAAGAATCCTGGCGATATGGGTGGAAGAGTTGCCGGAGCCGGAGATAATATTCCGGGACCTTGGCCTACTTCAAGATTAGTGTCTTCAAGAATATCCATAATATTATCTACTGTGAATTCTCTCTCTCTTTGTCTTTCAGAAGGACTTGTTTTCTCTATAGATGCTAGCCTGGCTGCCGGAGAGACGCAGTCGGCTGTGGAAGAGGTAGAGCCGGATGCGAAGGTAGAATCGGTGGTGGTGGTGGTGGTGGTATTGCCTGTGAGTCTTTGAACCAAGTCCATAAAGTCGCCGACGGTGGTGTGGTGGACTTTTGGTGAAACCGCGTAGATTATCACCGGCTGGCGGTCCTCAGCATACTGCGGAGGAGGCTGACCTACTTGTGGTGGTGCTGGGTGGTGATGTGGCGGCGCAACTGGTGGTTTACTGATCTTGTGCGAGGATTTACTGACTTTGAGCGCAGTTGGACGAGGACCCTGTAGTTCTCTTCTAGGAGATGGCCTGTTACCTCCGCCAGTGCCGGAGAAAGGTTCCTGAGGGTCCATAAATGAAGTTGGTTGGTAGATATAAATATTATATCACCGGTGATGTTTTAGAGAGAGAGAGAGAGAGGGTGGTGGTTTTAGAGAGAGAAAATGAAAATGGATCTTACTGGATAGTCTTTATTCATGTAAAGATAATATTTTTACAATACAAAAATAAAGGTATACTGTGTACATGTGCATGAATTTCTAGCCAGTTGCTTCTTGCCCAATTCCAAGGCGAGGAATGGCTTTTGGACTTTTTAAAAAATTTTAGGGCTAAATTTAATTAGATTAATTGTACAGATTCGACAGTGTAGATTATACAATATTGAACTATATTAGGGTCCGTTTGATTGTAAGAATGGAATTTGGATAAAAAGAAAATGAATTTCAGGGAATTGAATTGTTTAGAACTTGTTTTACTGGAAATTGTCAATTACTTGTATTTTATTGATATAATCTTTCACTAAAAAATATTGAAATTTTGGATCATTTGGTGTTAATTTGGCTTTTTTTTCATGAAAATTGTCAATTAAAATGATATAATATGTTACAATTGAAAATAATTTGTTTAAAAAAAAACTGTCTAAAAATGTTTTTCCCATCAAATTCATGGGAAAAGATTATCCTAAAAAATAAAGAAAATATGGAAAACCAATTTCATAAAAAATTTAATCAATCAAATATGCAAAAATAAGGAAATTGATTTTAATTTTCATTTTCTATGAAAAGGAAAGAGGAACTTAAAATAAATTTGAAAAGTTCTGTCTATTTCTACTTATGACTGCATATTACCAGGCAAAGTACAATACGTGTTATGATATAAATATGAAACATGTTGAAAACAATATTTAAACTAAATAGACGTGATATCTCTATATGTTTCAACTTCAACTTTAAGATGAATCAATTTATTGTATTAGAGTCAAATAAAACACTCAAGTTTAAGTTTCGTTATTATCCATTCATGAAAATTGTACACATGTCCATCCATCGATAAAAAATCAATGCACTTGAGATGGTGAGTCGAAGATAACATTCAAATGATTATAGATGCTCCATTCTAACCTTGTTATGTTAAAGAATGATTTGAACAATGAGTTGATGGAGCTGGTACTATTTCTCTAATGATATGCTCATTATTTAGCGATATAATAGTTTTAACGATTGTTTGACTCACATTATTTTCAAAATATATTTCTCTCCTTTTTTCAACTATACAGTCTTCAGTAAAATAATATTATACGTAAATTCAAATTTTTTTCTTAGTTTTCAATCACATATTTCTCCAACAAACTACTATTTCAAAATGCATTCTTACAATAAAATGGGACTCAAACATGTTCAAATTACTTTTATAGGAGAGAGAAAATGTCGGACTGACTTTGTTTGCTTAACTACTATGTCGATTGATGGTTTAAGTATGACAATGCTTATGACTATTGCTTGCTCGAAAGATTTCAGTTTTTTAGGAATTTTAAGAAAACATTTCATGATGCTCCACTAAAATTTTGACACTTGAGTGATGTGTCAAATTTGATTGAGGGGAAAGCATATACAGTAAAACCATTTGTACAGAAATGGTTTTGCTAGAAAGTCATCAGAATACTCACAATGCCGGCCCCACCTCGTATTTAAAAAAAAATTATGCGGGCCCCATCGTGTGTGTCTTCTCTGTTGGCTTTCTGTGGCCTCTACTTCTTTACACGAAGCAGGGCTCAAGCATATATATCTGACTTTGCAAGTAAAGTCAGAGTGGATGAACCATCTTACTACCTAAGTAAATATGCTTGGACGCTTTTGAATACGTTCATGAAGACGATGATGAAGTTATGCATGAACTTTCACAGTTTGAGGCACGGGAATAAACTAATAATCTCCTTTATGTAGCGAATTTGAAGGGAGGGATTAGGAGCTAGATGGACTAGAATACCATGATTTGCTGTCATTTGGTATCGTGCTAATGAAGGATTGATCCCGAACAAATTTGAGAGGTTTGGGATAAATTAAACTGTATGTATGATAGGCGATAGGAGGAGGCAGATTGCTGGTTGATTCTTCAACTGGAGTTCGAACTTAGCAATTTGAATGAACATGGGATGTACCGATCGCAGTGGATGAGTTTTTTTGGCTTGCACTTGGTGATAGGAATAAACCATATTTTCATTGCAAAGGTATAGGTTGAAAGGCAATGAATGTGATCACAGGGCTGGTTGATGACGAGGCAGGTCTTTGAGCCAAGTAAATCATACACGTGTTGTGCTTATTTTGAAAGTTAAATTGCCTAGTCTTTGAGCCTAGTTTTAAGGAGAGTGTTAGACGAGTCTAACGGGGCTGATCACTTTTGATGTGGACCTAAGCCAACGGGCTATAGACCGAACACGTTATAGTCCTAGCACGTCCCGTAGCTTTATGTTTGGAGCTGGGTTAGGCTTAGGTAGTGCTAAAAAATACTTGTAACGATGCATTATAGTCCTAATGTATATATAATAAGTCATTTTTAACTTAATATGAACGAAAGGTGCAACGATTATTCCACAGTCTTCAACATCAACCCAACCACCTTTCTTCACCAAATACACTTGTTTGCACATGTACCTAGGCCTGGCCACTTCGAGCATGGGAGGCCTACCCCGTTTTACACACTAGACTGTATTTTAGGATAACAATGGAAACCGATACCTATATGTTTCATTCTATGCTCAAAAAAAGCATTTTGAATTCTCGTATGTTCTTATATAAAATGGATCTCACTGATGGATTTAGTCCAATTTTTCCGATCAAATATCGCAGGAGACGGTGTTTTAAGTTAATATTGGACAAAATATTAAAGAAAAGGAGAAAAAGAAATAAAACCCTTCTCAATTTCTTTTTCTTCGTTAATTGTATTATTTAGTTGCACTTAGTATTATGTACAATCCATCGGCGTGGGAGTGGCGATTCGAGATCACTTTGAAATTGTTGTGACAACTTTTGCAAAGAGAATGGCTGGTTGTTTCTCTTCAGAAAATGTCGAGGCATTGGTCTTATGAAAGTGTCTTTGTTTTGCTAGAAATTTGACGCTCCAAGTTGATTTTTAGAGTACGGTGTTATTAGGGGCAAAAATGGTTTGAAAAACGAATCTCCTTTTCTCGGATTATCTCGTCATGTTAGATATTATTGTACTTATATCGAAAGTCAATTGCGATACTTACTGCCCATATATTAACTTCATTGTTTGTTGCTTTGAGTGCCTCTAAGCACCTTTGGTCTGATTGTTTACTGTTTTCTATTACCAGTTGTTCATTGTGACTTGTGTTAATGAGAATTACGAGGTTTTTCTTTTTTCTCTTTGTTTTTTTTTTTGAGAGAGAGAGAGAATTGAAATGCGATTTTATTTGAAAAATCCCATATTGCTGACTACTTGAGAAAAAGGCACAGCAGGTGATTCAGCCCCGCCACTATCACTTCGACTCCATTTCCCGCGAAAAACTAAAATCCCCATTTTTGTCCCTTCATAAACCCTAATTTGGAAAGCCAAAGATTCTGTAGAACACTTATCTGAAGTAGAACCAGTAGTAGTCAAATTCCAGATTTATAGGGGGAAATGAAGGGAGGCACTTTACAGATTAATTGGCACGAAACCAAGCCCGTTTTAACCCTCGATTTCCACCCCCTCTCCGGCCTCCTCTGCACTGGTGGCGCCGACTTCGACATCAAGGTTTCTTTACTTTCTTTCATTCGACCACCGTTTAAAACTACGCTCCGCTCTGAAGATTTTTATTTATTTTATTTTTTCATCCCATTTTTCTCAAAATGTATTTTTCTCTTGCTTCTTTTCAACCATAAATAAAATAATATTAAATGCAATCCAAAATTTTTTTCTTTATTTTTAACCACAAATTCTCCATGAATCTATTATTCTAAAATACATTCTACACTAAAAATGTGGTCAAACATATGTTTTCTCTTTTTTTTTTTTTTTGGTACAGAATCAGGATATTGGTTCTCCCTTTTCCTGATAAAAAAAATTTCAAATTCCTTTATTAATTTATTTTTATAGATATCGTTCTGTAGGTGGGTTTCTTTGCGTAAGTCCTCACAATTGTAAATAATCGATTTTTATTTTTTATTTTTTGCTGGGTCATGTTTATTATGCCATGTTAAACTTATTTTTGTAGAATTCTTTTTGTTTACTGTTCATATCTCCCTTTGATGACCGGTGATGTTTTGAAGTGTTTTGATTCTAGTAGTTAAGAACAGATCAGTATCGATTGAAATCTGTAAATATCTTTACAATTGATACAAAATCGAAGTAACTTTGAAAATTGAGACAGTAATTTCTGGTGAATATTGTTGATGTTGAATGTGAAATCTACAGCTATGGATGATAAATTCCAGTGAAGATCAAAAGAAGTCTCCAGGAGCTACCTACCAGAACAGCCTTTCATACCATAGTTCTGCTGTCAATGCACTTCGATTCTCTCCTTCAGGTAATGTTTCTATGGTGTTGCTTGTGAAAAAAATGTTTTTCTGTCACGTTTGTTTAGTGATAAACCACTTCACTAACGTTGATGTGATGCTCTCGCTAAATTTCAGCATCCGCATTGATTTTCAAGTTCTGCAAATCTGGCATTCAAGTGCCCTTAGCATTTCTTTTCAGTTGCACTATGTGCTTGTAGCAATTTTTTTATTACCATTTTACCTTTTTCTGGATATCATGATGTATTCCACACTTCCTTTCTGAATACCTGGTGGTTGTCTGATTGCTTGCAGACAAATGCTGTTTATTATTGTGAATACAGTTTCACAATTGGTATTTTGATACTTGCAGTTTTAGAGATTTCACTTTCACAAGTATCAGATTTCCGTTTACCTAGTGATAGACCCCCAAGTTATTCATTCAAGTTGTTATGCCATATTCTAGACTGTTCCAATTCCAGTTAGTTATCAGGGGCAGTTTGGGGAATAAGGGGGAAGTAGTAGTATTAATGTAATAGGGGAGGGAGCAGAATGGTTGTTTACACACATTGTTCAGTGGAAATAGGAGAGACCCGGCCTCTCTAATAGCCTGGAATTTGTATCCATTCTGTTTCATTCAATCTTTCTATAGCAGATTACTATTCATAAATTGAGTTTCAGTTACATTATAGAACATATCAATCCAACTGGTGCAATTGCTATCATATACTGAGGCCTAACTTGTTCATCATTAGCAAGAACTCAGATCTTCATCTGGAGATCGCAGCAGTTGTTCAGGGGGTAACTGTCAAAATGGTATCAGTGGAACCATTCTGGCCCTGGGGTATTACATCTGATGAAGAAAAATAATTTGAAGATTGGGCTAATAATTTGGAAACAATGATCGATGGACTGCAATCAGAGTTTGGGGCAATGAAATCTGAGATTCAGAAGGTTGTGTCATGATTGATGGAGAGACTTGATTTCACGATGAAGAAAGGGGCGCAATATGCAGCAACAGGAGCATCATCTTCAGCAGCTAACTGACCTCTCCTATAGAATCAGCAGCAGGGAATCAGTTCTCAAATCGGGAGAATTGCTTGTCGCTGAGGTAGGAGGGAACGGTTCGAGGCTACCGGCACAAGTTTGAAGTGGTGGCATCACCCAGACCAGATTATCGACAGAGGAGATGAGGTGAGAATATTGGAAAGGCTCAACGGCAGCCATATCGGCAGAAAGGGAAGAGGCACAACTCAACAGTTATTTGGCACCAAAAATGATGAGAAACTTCTGGACTTTGTGGCATTGGAGGCTCCCTTACAGGCGCCCTTCGTGATTTCAAAAGAGGCGGCGGACGGAAAATTTTTCAATTGAGTGAGGGCAGAGAATTGGGCAGAAGAGATGATTCTAAAGCCTCCAAGTCTGGGTCAAATTCTGGATCTAGCCCAAATGATTGAAGACCATAATGAGCATTTTAAAAATTTCCAAGCTATTTTAGGCCCATATAAATTCAACTACAACCCAAGCATAAGTCCCTATAATTTCAGCCTAAATGGCAATCCTAACCTACCCAACTTATCTTCCCAGATACCGGATTCAACTCACCTAGCAACCAATTTCATGACGGTTCATCGGGTTAAAAAAATTGACATTTTGTGGGTAGGGGCAACAGGCTATGGAGTTGCCTTGGATACTATACTTATGATAATCGTTTGATTGAGTAAGTCTGTCCATTTCAAAGGGGGAAAACGTCCCATTTTTGCGGTGATCGTGACTGGAGTTTTTGCAAAGGAAATTGTGTGGTTGTATGATGTATTCATAAGCTTCCACCTTGAGGATAAGGTGGATTTCGAGGGGCGAGTAATGATAGATCCGCAAGTTATTCATTCAAGTTATGCCATATTCTAGAGTGTTCCAATTCTAGTTATTTATCAGGGATAGGTTAGGGAATAGGGAGGAAAGTAGTAGTATAAATGTAACAGGGGAGGGAGCAGAATGGTTATCTATACACACTGTTCAGTGAAAATAGGAGAGACCCGGCCTCTCTAATAGCCTTGAATTTGTATCCATTCTATTTCATTCAATCTTTCTATAACAGATTACTATTCATAAATTGAGTATCAGTTACATTATAGAACATATAAATCCAACTGGTGCAATTGCTATCATATACTGAGGCCACACTTGTTCATCATTAGCAAGAACTTAGATCTTTATCTGGAGGTCGCAGCAGTTGTTCAGGGGGTAACAGGGGATCCCATCACCCAGTCTTTGCAAATGAGAGTATTTTGAGCCAGATAGATTGTTACAATTGGAAAGTTAATGTGCTCCAATTCTAAACATTATTATCATATTGAAAGTGCACGAGTCTGTGATGTGACTAGATATGTGTGAACCACCAGATACTCATGCAAGCATAGAAACAAACATGCATGCTTTACTGTTCATGTAGCTTCTTTTACGCTTTATCTTTCATCCTGTTCTGTTGGGTACAATGGCTAGGCATTCATCCAGTTTTTTCACCTATTTCTTGGGACACTATATTAATATGTCATTAAAAATGTTGTGTTATTGCTGCCTGAGAGCTGTCATGCTCAACTGAGTGGCTAACTTCCTTTTTAACAGTTCTATCAAGTTCGCTTCTTACTACTAATAAACTGTCATTTTAGGTAGTTTGCTTGTGAATCTATCATATTATCTTTGTATGGAAGGATGACTGTCTTCTAAAATTGCAGGAGAACAGCTCGCCTCTGGTGCTGATGGTAAGCACTCATCATTATTAGTGGCATATATTTAACCAAGTAAGTTTTCCTTTTTGCGCAGTTTGAAGTAATCTGTTTACTTAGATTAAATATATTCATTCAGGTGGTGAGCTGCTCATATGGAAATTAAATTCTACTGATGCTGGCAAAGCATGGAAAGTCCTGAAGACTTTAGCGTAAGCTTATATTATATCCATCTCTCCTGCTTTCATTTAAGATGGTCTCTATTTGTGTTCTTCCAGTCTCATATTACACAATGGATTTATCAAGGTTTATTTGATGCCAATCTCACCAACTTTTAGTGGGACTGGACTGGAGATTCTTGTAGTCAAAATAAAACAAAGAGAAGGTCTGAAGAACTGTTTTGTGATGAGACAGTACCCTTTCTGCTCTCATTGTGTCCCCTACTGTCCAATAGGATTCTCAATGGGATCAAAGTGGTGTCGCATCTGATTTGAATGAAGTGTACTGTTTTATACTGAACTTGTAACTCCTTCCAATGTCTGTGAAGCAGATTGCAAACCAATCTTTTGATCCAATCATGCTTTATACCATTCAAAAGCAGAATCTGGCCTCTATCAATTGGGTACAAGAATAATATTCCTAATTCTGTCCCCCATTTGTCAAACTCATGACCCATCAGGCCATCACTATCATTCCCCAATAACCTATAATTATGTACAGATCATTAATTCTCTCTTATTTCATTACTCCAAAGGTTTTTACTTCTGTGGCATAATATAGGTTTTATCACCTCGGGTCATCTCCCTGTCACTAAAACTTAACTGGACGTTGTTATTATAAATTTCTTGCGTGTGAAAAATGATGCAACAAGTTCAAGTGGTACAACTGCAGTAGTTGTGTGCTGGTGGTTGCTTGTAATTCAGATTTTGTTGCCAGCCAGCATCCTGAACTGCAGCAAATCAATTGACAGTGCATGTATCTGGATTTCCATATCCTATGCGAGTTGAATTTTTTGAAGCCCTATGCTTACTAGAGTCATTTTTAGGTTTCATCGCAAGGATTTGCTAGACCTACAGTGGTCTACTGATGGTGCATATCTTATTTCTGGATCAGTAGATAATTCCTGCATTATATGGGATGTTAACAAAGGTGAGGAAATAAATGCAATGCTGTAGATGAGATCAGGTAAGTTGTGTCTTTAGTTCCTGATTTCTCCCTATTTGTTCAGGTTCTGTCCATCAGATTTTGGATGGGCATTTCCACTATGTTCAAGGTGTAGCATGGGATCCATTGAAAAAGTATGCAGCATCGCTTAGTTCAGATAGAACTCTCCGTGTTTATGTCAACAAGCCTTCTAAATCAAAAGGTGTTGAGAAGACGAATTATGTTTGTCAGCATGTAATTGCAAAGCTAGAAACGCAGACGACTGAAGAGTCTAAGGTTTGAAAGTCATTATCTGTTTAACATGGCATGCACTGTAAGTGCGTTTATATATAACCAGCTTCATTGTGTCTGATGCAGTCTGCTAGAAGTCATCTTTTCCACGACGAGACACTCCCGTCTTTCTTTCGAAGATTAGCATGGTCTCCTGATGGATCATTCTTAGTGGTGCCTGCAGGTATTGTGGGGTGTCCAATCTATTTCAATGACTATATCCCGCTCGACATCCACGTCCGTTAATATTTCCGTGCTTTTCTATTTGCATTTCATTATGCTATTTTGCACATTATTATGCGATATTTTTTATATTGCTATGTCTAATCTGATCCTTTTGAGACTAAGATTTATGGCATCTAAGCCTTGCAGATGTATGTGAAACTCATCCTAAGGCTATGTTATTGATCTCTTATATCTTTGGGTTAAATTAAGATTTATGGCATCTAAGCCTTGCAGATGTATGTGAAACTCATCCTAAGGCTATGTTATTGATCTCTTATATCTTTGGGTTAAATTGTTCATTATTATTACTGATTGAGGTAGCACTTATAAACCACAAAATGCTTATTTGACACTCTTAGGACACATCTTTCTTTCCCCATTATTTGCAGCAGTGGGGGCTGTAATTAATCTGCATTTCTTGGCTTTAAGATGATTTATCGACAAAAGTCCTAGAATCTCTTACCTGTATAACCATTTGCACTAGGAATCATGTGGGTTTTTAGGCATCTTAGTGAGCTAAAGTCGATACTTATTTTCTCAATATCTTCTGGTCTCCAACATTGATCTGAAGGCATTCTTGCCAACCTTAAGTTGTAGGTCGACGTTGTTCTCTTAATTTTGTTTCCACAGCTTTCTAACTTAATAGAAATTCTTGTAAAAGAAACTGTAATTACAATATGCAACTTTTGATCACTTTGATGTGCTAAACGTGGAATTTTTTCCAGCAATAAATAAAACAAGAAACCTGAAAAGACATTAGAGGTTCCAGGTGTTGAACCATCTTATTTTTACTAATGTGTTGTATATTTGTGCCATGTTGAAAAGACACTCGTCATTATTTTCTTTAAAATGCTATTAGTATTGATGTGCTTTATTATGCAGGTTCTTACAGACCTACAGCTGCTTCCGAATCAGTAAACACTGCTTATGTATTTTCAAGGAAAAATCTTTCAAGGCAAGAAATTGCTGTCTTCCTAATTTGTATGTTTCTTTGAGCACTTTGATCAGAGTAGATCTGTTTATCTGTTTAACACTGGGGAGCTTCTTATTCTTTATAGAATCCCCATCCTTAATAATATCTACTCTTTTTCTACACAGACCTGCTCTCATGCTCCCTGGTGCCAGTAAACCTGTTGTGGCTGTACGCTTTTGCCCAATGACATTTAATTTGCGGGGATCAGAAACACGTATTAGCTCTTTTTTCTGTTTTCACTCTTTGGAAAGATTTACATATCACCTTCACCACATTTTGACGACAAAGCTGTCCTGTGTGCAGCCTCATTGTTCAAGCTCCCCTATCGCCTTATTTTTGCGGTGGCCACTTTGAATTCCTTGTACGTATACGATACTGAGAGTGTTCAGCCAATAGCAATTGTAGCCGGAATTCATTATTCAGCCATAACAGACATTGCATGGTAATGTTTTTGTCCGCTTTAACCATTGACAGTTATGATATCACATTCTGACTGTTTATCCACTTTATCCTTTTTCCCCTCAAAATATTTTTCTTTGTACATGTGCATATAGGTCACCTTGTGGTAAATATTTGGCCTTGTCTTCTCAAGACGGTTACTGCACTCTTCTGGAATTTGAAAATCAGGAACTTGGATCACCCATTTCATTGCGAGGTTAGCATTTTTCTTTTGTTTCTCTCTACAACTTCTGTCAATTTGGAGGGCTGTAAGGGTTTACAATTCACGTTAAATAAAACTTTTATCTAGCAGAAGAGAAGCAAGTCGACCGTGAAAATAAAAACACAGTTTGGAAATTGGATGACAGTATTATGGAAGTTACTCTCGACGATAGCAGTGCTTTACATGGTGCAAAAGAGAAGGAAGAGAACACAGGAAAAGATAAAGAGGAGAATAATCAAGGGAAACAAGTTTCACCAGGTACAAGAACAACCCCGAATCCGAACAAGACTGCAAAGAGGCGTATTACTCCCATGGCCGTTGATTGATTAAATAACTCATCACCTGTAAAATTTACTGCTATGGTGAATGGAATTTGTTTACTGGCCTGAACCGTCCCCTATTTAAAGGCAAAATTCCTATATTTCGATGTTATATCAGAAAGTGGAAAAATCCATTTGAACCAATTTTAAGCGACCGAAATGCTTCATTTCTTTCTAAATTTCTAGATTCTATTGTCTTTTTTTTTTTTGACCTTGGTTCACGTAATTCTCGCAAGATGTGAGCACCCTATATAGGCTACAATGTACTCCAATGTGGTTATAACGTAATCGAGGTAGAGCGTGCTTTAGGAAAAAGCGAATGTTTCATCATTTTTAGATAAAAACTACCAAACATGTATTTGTGTCAAATCTTTGAATCTTATCCCGATGGGTTCCAAACTTTGTATATGTGGCACCTAGGGTAGCCATAAAAAGCGCGCTCATTATCATTAGCTATTCTTGAAAGAATAATGTTATGTAGCTTTACTAGAATTGTAATATCAATTTAGATGACACTAGATGATAGATTAAATGAAATGTGATGTCACATCAAAGTGCAACCTCAGTGGGAATATGAACAATTATTTCTTCAACACAAGTTAAGATTTGGTGTCAATAAAAAATAATAATAATGATAATAAAATAGAACACCTAACAACACATTCTTACTTGTCAAAAATTACGAGATCTCTCTTATTAAAATATGTCAATTAAAATATGAAATAATTTGAAACATGTTGAAAACAACATTAAATTAAATACACACGATTTCTCACTATCAATTAAACTTTAAGATGAATCGGTTTGGAATATTAGAGTCAAGCAAAAGACTTGAGTTTAAATTTCGTGATTATTCACTCGAGAAAATTGTATGATATGAACCGACCCGATATCAAGAACGTTTTGATATCACTTGTTGAGAAACCTGCCAAATATTTAAAGACGAAAAGTATAGACAATATAAAATTTAATGGATCACACAATAATCAAGAAAATTGTAGAAGATGAGAATTTATTATACCAAGAAACAACCAATTGTCTTACAAGAATTTGATCCTCTTAATCTAATCTAAATAATTCTATCTTATTTCTAATGTATATAACAATGATCTAATTGTTATAATCTCTTTTGAGTATTGCATTTTCTTCCTTTATTAAGTGCCTATACCTTGTGGGTATTTATAGAATCCAAATATTGAAGTTATGGAGTCCAAGATGAAAGAGAAGTCCCAAAATTCGTATAAAATGAGAAAACTGCGAAAAAACACGCTACCGAGGACCCAGGGCGCCTGACGCCCGCTCCAATCCAAAACCCCTTTTAAAAGAAAAAAAAATTGTAGAGACCGTAGAAGAATGAAACAAACCGTCCCTTTTCTCCAATCGTCTTCTCATCTTCACCTGTTAACATCTGAATTTCCTTTGGCTGCCTGAACAAGAGGATTGGAGATTGAGGGAGCATGACTTAATTTTCCATCGGAGAAGTTGAATTTATACAAGTGAGTTTTTGTTTCTTCAACAATTTCTTTGAATATTCAAGAAGATATAAATTCCTTTTTAATATTTTTCAATGTTATGAAGATGTCAAGATAGGTTCCTGATTTATAATTACTAATTTAATAAGTGAATTCAATTACTAATTTAAAGGGAAATTGGGATTTGGGAAAGTTTATAAAGTTTCTGGGGTTCAGGCCAAGAAATACTTCTTATGGGTTTGAGGTTTCTGTTACTGGGATTGATGTTGATGAAGAGAATGAGTCCAATGGGATGATTGAATTTTATGTGGGTGCTCTTTCGCAGAAACTATCAGTGGATGAATTTGAGACTATTCCAACTTGCAAGGTTTAAAGTGATTCAGGATTTCGTCTCTTACGTGGAAGCATCAATTTGAAGTACTTAATGTTTTGGGAAAAATTCATTTATCATACTTCATCTTTACCATATTTCAAAAATAACAAAACAACTTTCACAGTTCAAAAATCAGATTTTTTGACCTATACATACACATTTATAAATATCCGCTCCGGTGCCGATTTTGGCGACTGCTCCCGGCGATCGTTCCGGCGACTGCTCCGACTCAAGTCACAAGTCACGGTCCAGGTCACATCTCAGATCACAAGTCACAGTCCAGGTCATAACTCAAATCACAAGTCACAGTTCAGGTCACAAATCAAATTTTTGTTCATAGTCACGACTTATTTTCAAATTATCACAGACAGGTCAAAAATTTTGTAGGTCACAATTTGTTTATCGGTCACAGATCAAAAATTTTGCAGGTCACAGATTAATTTTTAGTCACGAATTGTCGAATTTTAAGGTCACGGATAGTCCCTTATGCGGTCACAATCTAATCTATGATTACCGTCAACAGTTGTGCCACCAGTTCAACGCTGTATTTAACAGCATCACCACTACCGTCCACCGCCACCACTACACCAACGGCACCCACGCAATCACAAGATCCACCACCATCACCCACCTCCATTGCAGCTAGAAACCACGGCGACCACAACCGGATATACCAAAAAAGTAGATACAAAACTTCCAACACCCCACAACCACCATCACCACCACGGCGTGGCCCCCTCTCCCACACAGATCACGCCCACGTCCACACAAATCATACCCACCTCCACACAGAGCACACAGACCAGTGGTCTCTTTCTCGGAGGCTATGGCGACGACGCTCTTCGGGGATTCCAACAATTAGCAGCAGTGTCGCAAAGTAGGGTAAAGTCGCGCTACGCTGCTGCAATCGAATTAGGGCAGCGTCGCCCTTAGATGCTGCCCTAATTTGCAGCAGCGTATTAGAGCAGCATCTAAGGGCGACTTGAATTAGTGTGGAGACGGGAGGGATGGGGAGGAGAAGGAGAGGAGGAAGAAGGGAGGAGAGGACACCGTCGGAGGAGCCACCTCCGAGAGAGAGATAAGGAGGGTGACTGGTGAGAGATTTATGCCGAGAGAGAGAGAGATAGGGAGGGTGATGTGAAAGATTTAGGGATTTAAGTTGGGTTGGGTTGGGTTGGGGTGGGTTGGGTTGGGGTGTATATAAATTAATTTTTTATATTATTATTATTATTTAATTAAATATAAAAAACTGTATCTAATTAAAAAACTTCTGATTTTTTTTAAAAAAAGATGAAATCTGATTTTGGAACTTGAATCTCCAAAAGTAGGGGTGGGTGTAATTTCCACTAATGTTTTCTTTTTGGATAAGCTAAACTTGGCCTAGCCCAAATCAGTTGGACAAAAAGCCCATTAATATTTGGACGTGGAAGCTCAAATTGGACCCAAATTTGGCATTCTTAGCTTGTAGATAAATCTAAATAAAAACCTGCTGCCTAATTCAATTTTTCTCTCTCCACAAACCATAAACCCTAATGCAATTATCTTCATAAAAGCTTTGATTTTAATTTGACATTCAGTTTTTTGAGATATAAAAGTCAAATCTAAAGATTGTTTCGAAGTTCACCAATGGGGAAGACTAGATCGTGGTAAGATTCCTTCAACAATTTTTTCGTATAGTTTTATGTGTTGTTAGTTCTATATCAGATGGAGACTAAAGACTCGTGCAGATCGCAAGTTGGACAAAAAAAGTTCAATTTTATGAAAGTAAGTGTTGACCTATGGTTTATTTCATCCTCAATGTTTTGATTATAACAAACAAGATTAATATTGTTTCTAACAATTGATTTTGAGTGATGATAATTCAATATTAAAATCTATCAACTATTGACAAAATCAACACATCATAAATTGGACTCTAAATGAATAGCAAAGTGAAAGTTAAGCTTTTAAGTCAAATCATTCGAGACGAGATCGAAGTCAAACATTAAAGTCAAAAGTCAGGAAAGACCAATATCAAGAGTTTAAGAGCAAAACAATGAAAGAAACTTCGAAGCAAGATCAAAGACTAGGCTTTTGAGATTATATGTAAAAGTATAACACTTTGATCTTTAGTAATGAATGACAATAGCTCAAAAATTATTTTGTGCACGAAAAATTATTTTCACTACCACTTGCATAGAATGTTTTGATCAAAAGTAAAATTGATTTTCAAAATGATATTTGAACTTATATCATATTTTCATTCAAAACATTTTGACCAAAAAAATAAAAATAAAATCAACGGTCAACAGGACGTCCGGTACGGCAATGGTCAAAGTTTCGGACCGTTCTGACTTCTGACACCCAACGGCTATATTGGTTGTCCGGTAGGTACCAGACTCCGGTAGGGATCTTCCGGTTGGGCATAACTTTACCATTTTGGTTCCTATAAATACCAGTTCTTTTTCATTCATCAAAAACAACTTCAAGAGAGCTTTCTACTGAAATATGTGAGTGAAAAATCTTCGTTGAGCCTACATCTTTATATTCATTTCATCTATTTCTTTATAACAAAAAACTTTGATTGTTGAATCAAATTTCTTGAATTATTTCTTTCATCAAAGTTTTTCTTTTCTCTTTGTGTTTAACTTATTTATATCAATCTTAAAAGAGAAATATATTTTTGAAGAAGATCTTGGTACTTACATTATATAAATCTTTCTACTTATTCATGTTCAAAACTTTAATTGATTGAATCATATTTGCAAAGTCAACATATTCATCAAAGTTTCTCTTTTCTCTCTTAATACTTGATTTATTACAATCATTCATTGAAAGAGAGATATATCCTAAGAAGATTCTTTGAACTTACATTGGATTCATTTATTCCTTATCTTCTCATTAAAACCCTTTGATTGATTGAATCAAACTTGGAAAATAATCATATCAATCAAAGTTTATCATTTTTCTCTTAGTACTAAATTCATTACCATTATTATTTATTAAAAGAGAGATATTTTGAGAAGATTTTTGCACTTACATTGCATAAACTTTTATATATCTTCTCATTGAAATATTGTGGTCGGGTGAATCTAATTTCTAGTTATCGTATTCATCAAAGTTTTCATCAAATACTTGAGCTGTCATTTGTTACTATCATTGAAGTGTTATCCTCTCTTTGT